ATCACCCTACTAGTTTAATTTATATGCTGAAAACATCATAAGAAAATAAGAATTAGAATCAGAAAAAGGAGGAGCTAAGATAGGAGGCAGCAACATTAACAACACCATAATATTGGTAGAAGACGTTCAGGAATTGGAACAGTTAATAAGGAAGATCAAAGATGAAGTTGCAAAGGCAAATCTGGTGCTGAACATAAAGAAAACAAAAATAATGACTACAGAAGGAATACACAAATTCAGTCTAGAGAATGAGGAAATTGAAATAGTTAAACAATTCCCATATCTAGGAACAAACATTTACCAGAATGGAGAATGCAGTAAAGAAATAAGAAGACTAGGAATGGGAAGGGCAGCTATGAAAGAACTGGAAAAGATACTGAAGAGCAAAGACATATAAATGAACACTAAAGTCAGAATCGTTCAGGCCATTGTATTCCCAATTACTATGTATGGATGCGAGAGCTGGACAGCGAAAGAAACAGACATAAAGAAAATCAACTCATCTGAAATGTGGTGCTGGAGAAGAGTACTTAGGATCCCATGGACAGCCAAGAAGACAAACAAATGGGTTCTTGAACAGATCAGACCAGGTCTCTCCTTGGAAGCAAAGATGATCAAGTTGAGACTATCGTACTTTGGCCACATAATGAGAAGGCATGGATCACTAGAAAAAAACAATAATGCTAGAGAGGGTGGAATCATCCTCTTCCCTGTAGACTCAGGCACATTGCTGCAGCCTCTCCTGCATTGCCTGTTCTTCCTCATTAATAAATTTTGCCATCGTTGCTTGGCTTCACATGTCCTGGTTTTCAACTGTGACATTTTTGAAGATATGCAAGTGATAGGACTGGGACATATCAAATGGCAGTAAAAAAGGTTAGACTGGTTCAAAAAGGAAAAGGAGGAAAGAATGATTGAGGGAACATCCTGATGATGAACAGCACAGGAGCCTTTTCTTACTCAGAAGTCCCATGGTAGAATAGGGAGGACCACACGTCAGATGGATATGTCATGTTAATGTTTCATCCCTAGTCTTTTCATGTAAGGAATGACTTACCAGTCTGTTCCTTCAGCTAAGTATCTCGGCTGGGGTCCCACAGGTTGAGGAGTCTGGAGTTGATGGCCAAATTCGAAGCTTGGATGTAACCGATGATGTTGGACAGACATACGCTCCTGAGTCCGCCTGCAAGGTTGAGGGAGAAAGAGGAGTGAAGGCCAGAGTTTGGGCAAGTGAGATTTTTGGGCTACAGCTCTCAGAATCTGCCAACTAGTACCGGTAATACACATGCAGTTTGCAGGATTCGCCGAGCTGTCATCTCAGAAAAGTAACTTTATCAAGCTCTGGAAAAGCTTGTGTTCTGCACCTACACAATTCAGAATTCTGCACAAAGGCAACACTAATAATAATCCCATTTCAGACAGACCACTGATTCAGGATGACATGGGATGAAATGGTAGAATGAAATCCTGGGACTGGAGGGAGCCACCTGAACAAATAGTTCAGACTACTTATCCCACTAAACTTGATTCGGGAATCATGTAGTCTTCCAGATATTGTTGGACTGCAACTCCAAGCAGCCCTAGTCAGCCAGTGATGAGGAATGCAATCCAACATCTGGAGAACTACACAATTCCTATCCCTGCTGTAGAACATCAGTTATTATTTATTTCAATATGTTTATCTGCCCTTTTGGGAGAGCCATGTGGCATAGTGGTTTGAGTGTTGGACGGTGACTCTGTAGACAAGGGTTTGATTCCCCGCTTGGCCATGGAACCCACTGAGTGACCTTGGGCATGTCACATGCTCTCAGCCGCAGGAGAAGGCAATGGCAAACCTCCACGGAACAAATCTAGTCAAATAAGGTCCATGATAATTTTATTTTATGATTGCCATAAGTCAGAGATAACTTGGAGGCACACAACACACACACATGCTGCCATGTTGGCCTGAATC